TTCGTTGTATGTGTAGTATGTATTCTTTACCCTATTAACTATACATTCTTGTACTTGGTTTCTGATGTGAAGTATGCTTCTTTATCCTCTTAAACATACATTCTTGTACTTGGTTTCTGATGGGAAGTATGATTCTTTATCCTCTTAAACATACATTCTTGTACTTGGTTTCTGATGTGAAGTATGATTCTTTACCCTATTAAACATACATTCTTGTACTTGGTTTCTGATGTGAAGTATGATTCTTTACCCTATTAAACATACATTCTTATATCTCTAGGCTAACCATACACCACTATTTTATGCCTTAGAAGGGAAAGATCACACCCTGTGTGATGTTTTACTGCAATGTGGAGCTGACATGCATGCTTTGGATGAGGTGAGACCCAAGTGCTGAAACATGAAACTCTTCTTCATATTAAAGTTCAGGTTCTGTTTGAAACATTGTAGATTTTGATAAAATTATCAGTTAAGAATTGCTATTAACAGTATTCCAGACTGAAATAGGAATTATCTTTGCTCAACGTAAATAAAAAATCTTGTATCATAATCAGCTGTGTTCTGCAGATTTTAATCTATATCATCAGTTATGCTCTGTCACATGTAATATAGCATGGTTTAATTTCGTATAGAGTGTTGCCCTTTTTTTTTCCCCACCAGATTCAGGTGGGTAAACTTATATAGCCAATGTCAAGAATAATTTTCTAAATAGCTATTCAGATAGGTATTTGTGGTTGAATATATAAAATGTACATACTATTGGTCTTTAATTCTCTTGTTTCATATTATGATATAAGCATACTTGTATGTTAGGGAGGAATTACCCTTGTTGAAGAAGTGTATAGGCTTTATCAAGTCGACAGATCTTCAAAAGAAGATATTGAATTGCTTCAGGTCTTTGAAAAATATTTTGTAAGTATGTTATTCATGGAAATATCTTGGACGAGGGAGGCAAAAGTGTATGTGTAATTTTATTAACTTGAAACTTGTCAAGTACTAACTGAGTAAAGAAAATACAAGTATGCATTCACTTGATATTTTCTTTAAAAATATTTATAACTTAGAAAACTGCAGTGAATTAAAATTTTAACTTTAGTTAGAACTTGTGAAATATTTGGTTTTATGTATCAAGACAAGGAAAATATATTAAACATAAAGTGTTTGCTGGGTACTGAAATTAAAATGAAACAGTTGAAATTTAACATTTATTTTAAGTAATAGTTTGATTACCATCTAGACAGTCATGGTTTTTAACCAAAAAAAAAAACCAACTAATAAGTAATTGAATTAAATTAACCTCAGTTAACTTGTCTACTAGGACCCTAATTTTTAGTTGCTTGATATTTTGATGGGAGAAATCCTAAGATTTTACTCACCCGCAAATACAATCTTCTCACCTTTTAACTTATAAGATAACGATAGCTCCTGACGAAAGTGTAATCAAGAAATAGTGAACTTATAAAGATATAGGTCGTTGTTTTATTTACCTTAATGGAAACATCTCAAAATAAACTCGAGTTTGTATTAAGCAAAGTTAAGAATAAAGTAAACCTTGATTTTTTTTTTTTACCCAATATTGATGGTTTTTTTAGAGACAAGTTTTACATAAAGAGCTACATTTTAATTTATTTGTTTTCAGCCAGGTATTTGGAGGGCTGTTTCTCTGGGTAGTATTGAAGATGTTCGACGTTTGATAAATCTGTGGTGTAAAACTGATTTGCATAGGGTAAGTGAATCCTGGCTGTGTTACCTTTATAAGTTTATTGTTTTGTACAGTAGTGCTCAGAAATCTCGAAAACTAAAAAGAAATTTAAAATTATATGGTATTAATTGTAAACAATAGTTGGGTGAAAATCTTACTTTTACTAAAAAATACCAAAGATTTAATTTTTCATTCATGGATTTAAAAAAAAAAATCTTAATCTTTCCATAATTATTATTAAGAACTTCTGAGTGAAATAAAAAAAAAAGTGTATAATAACATGCTATATCCAGTTACAAGGAGACCTTTCACCCAATTACCAGGGCTCTTCAGGCTAACTGGGAAATGACTGAAATTTGTCAAATGAAGATGCTTCATAATGCTTTTTTTTCTTCAAGTATTACTATGTATTAGCTTTTGACTTGGTAAAATATCCACATATTTATGCCCAGTAATTCTCCATGTAGTTTTAGAAAGGCTTCACAAGTATTATTTCTTCAAAAAAGTATTAAAAACTTTCACGAAGAAAACTTTTTTGCTTGTAAGTAATGTAGAAGATGTTTAAAAGTCACATTCATTCTAATACAGAAAAAGTAAGTTAAGGTCATGAAAGGTTTTTTGTTATTTTTTTTTAATTAATTTTTCTACACTCAGTTAAAACACAAATTAAATTTATTTCACAACAAATGTATCAAATAGTATGTTCCACCATCAATAAAACTTTTCTTTATGCTTATAAATCGTTGTTTGCCTACCTATTATTGTTAAATATTCTTGGATAATTTTTAAATAGAAGAAATGTCAAATTTTTTGCAATGTAGTCCTGATATTTTTACTTATTTTGTTAATATTTTTGAAGGATGGAAAATCACTAAGAGATCTGGCTCTGGAAAGTGGTCATGAAGAAGTTATTGGCTTAATTATCAACATAGAATTTTCTATGGTAATTATTCACATTTTTTTTCTAGTATTGTATCAAAGCCAACGATTAGAAAGGCCTTGAATGCAGCTTATTACATTAATTATTTTGCTAACTTTTGGAATTTTTATTTGATTTTATCAAAATAGTAATTGTAAAGACATTTACTTGAGCATTATAATTCATATATTCACTAATTGCAGTCATCACGAAGGTACAAAAAAATGTTAGGTCTTTTTAAAAAAAAACCTGTTTTGTATTTTTTTTACATTTTACAAGTATGTATCACTTGTTTTCTATTATACTTCTCATTTCTTTCATTTTATTTCAGTTTCTGTTATTTAAAATATTTTTCCAGTCTGTCCCGCAGGGGTCAGTGGTAAGTTTCGGACTTACAATACTAAAATCTGGAGTTTAATTCCCCACAGTGAAAAGAGTACAGATAACCCACTATGTAGCTTTGCACCAGAACAATAACAAACGTTTCCAGTCTTTCCTATGTTTTATAAGATAACCTTAGTGTTAATGCAATTATAAATACGAATATTTTTCACTGTTTCTTTTTTGTACTTAGATAGTTGTTCTTGGAACACTTAGTGTATATTTACATGAATATTCAAATAACAAGAAAAACTTTACAAAGCATTCCACATTTGGAATATTGTGTTCAGTCTTGAACTCCTTACCTTAGGAAAGACATTGAATTGTTGGAAAGTGTTCAGAGAAGGGTTACTAGAATGGTGTCTGGGATGGAGGGGTTGTTATATGAGGAGAGGTTGAAATTTCTCAAAGAGTTAGGGGGGATCTGATTGAGGTGTTTAAGATTGTAAAGGGAATTGATAGTGTTGATGCATCATCTTTTTTTCATACTTAACAGTTAGAATAGTAGGACTAGGGCACACAATTATATATTTTGGCAAGGTAGGAGTCATCTTCAGCTAAGTTTTAGTTTTCTGACAGAGTGGTTGGCCTTTGGAATGGATTACCTTTGGATGTTGTGGAAGCAGTAAAATTAAGTGAACTTAAGGGAAGGTGTGATAAACATATGAATGATAAGGGCTGGCTTTGAGGTTTGTTCTTTTTTTTTCTTATTCATTTATTAATAGTTTTAGTTTAGTTTAGAGAATGGAACAGCCGAGATGCACCAATAGGTCTCATGTTGTCCCAAAATGTTATGTTATACCTAGGTTGTTTGTATTGTAAAATACTAGCTGCTCTTTAAGCTGTAAAATTTTCATGAATATATGGGCAGTAATGAACATTTCAAAAATTATGGGATGATTTCCATATCTAACAAGTACTATTAACAGTTTGTTAGCATAGGGCATTTAGCGCATTATTCCAGGGACCCGACAGCATCTAATCAGGTTATTTCAAAATGTGATTAATTCTGCATTTCAAATATTTATGAGAAATAAGTATTGTTGTTTTTTAGTGTTTTTAAATTTACTTTTAATAAATAATTTGAAGAATAAAGAGAGATCACTTTTAGTTTGTTTTCTTTTTACATAAATCATTACCGTGTGAAAAAGTCACTGAGTTTCTGGTCTCGTTTATTAAAAGATACGGAATTAAATCTAAGAAAGAAAGTAAGCAACATTATTAATTCTGAAGGATAGGTATATCATGATTCGTGGATTTCAAAGCTAGGTTTTTTTTTGGGAAAAGAAAGTATGTGATAACAATGGACGAACTTGATTTATATCTTTTGTAGAGGCTGGTGCATCACGTTCTTGCTGGAAATGTCATTGGGGTCCGACACATGTTAACAAATCACAGAAATAAGTTGCAGCTGGACTTGAGAAACTTAGTAAGCTTTATCTTCATTTCTTCATGTTTCTCGTAAAAAATTCCAAAACAAGAGAATTTTACAACCTGTTTACATGTTTGTGTTAAATTTGGTTTGAAATGTAAATAAAACTACTAAGTCATAAAAGAAAACTGGAGTATGAGAAGTAACATTTCAGTTTCATTGTACGTAAAAATAAACATTAGGCCAAATACTCAATTTAAAACACCTCATCGCTAGTCATTTGTCACATTGTTATGGATGAAACTTACACTAAGATTAGAGTTATTTAATCACATTGTTATAGATGAAAGTCACACTGAGAATACAGTAACTTAATCACATTGTTATAGATGAAAGTTACACTGAGAATACAGTAACTTAATCACATTGTTATAGATGAAAGTTACACTGAGAATACAGTAACTTAATCACATTGTTATGGATGAAAGTTACACTAAGATTAGAGTTATTTAATCACATTGTTATAGATGAAATTTACATTGAGAATAGAGTAACTTAGTTACATTGTTATGGATGAAATTTATAATATGGTTAGAGTAACTTAATCACATTGTTATGGATGAAACTTACACGGAGAATAGAGTAACTTAATGACCTTTTTATACATGAAACTTACACTAAGATTAGAGTAACTTAATCAGATTGTTATGGATGAAACTTACACTGAGAATAGAGTAACTTAATGATCTTTTTATACATGAAACTTACACTTATAATAATCATAGTAAGTTTTTTAATTTGGATGGATTTAGTAACAAGTGAATGTAACCCTCCAGATTGAAAAACGTATTTCATCCTCCAGGTGTAAAAATAAGGTTTTTTATTTGTTACTTGGCATTTTTTTAGGGTTTTGGCTTTAGTGGATCACTCCTTACGTCTAAAGCATGATGACAATTCAGCTTCAATACTGAGGTCTTCTTCGACCGGAAGAAGGCCTCAAAGTAGATACCTAAATTGTCATTCTACACTAGAAACAGGCAAAAGCAGTCCATTAAAGCTAAAATTACTATGTCTGCCTAAAAATATCTTTAAATCAACATAGTTAGCATTTTACACTTTTTTCAAACATCACAACTATAACAGCCCTTCTCTGACAGTCTTCCCTTGATGAAGGGACAAAACTAGATTGTTGAGATGTATCTTTGACTAGAACAGAAAATGTTTTTTTTTTGCATAATGTAAAACATCTTTTTCGGGAAAGAAAAAAATAATAAGTTGAATCTTATATTGTCTGCATTATAAAGTTAATAGTCTTTGTATATCGAAACTTGTCAGATTATTATTGTAAGTGTTTGTATGAATACATAAAGATTGACAAGCATCAAATATCTAGGTCAAAGTGAACATTAGTGGTTGTCATTGTAATAATGGGAGATTCTGCATGTTAGTATAACAAACACAGAGATTATAAGGTAGTACACACAGCCTTTGACGCATTGCAAATGTTCTACAATTTTGAACAAATAAAAAAATGGTAGTTTTATACAGTAGTGTAATTTACAGTTTGTTGGACATGAACGGGATGGAACATATTGTGTTGTGATCTTCAAAGCTTGAAATGATCCACTATGTATGTTGAGTATTCTGCTTTTTTTGTCTTTTGTATATTTTTAACTATGATTTTACTAAGTAGTAGGTTTTCCTGGTGCATTTTACAGTTTAATTTTTAAATACTTAAATTCTTCTTTATTTTTAAGAGTGTCCGTGGAGCTCCCATTTTGTATTTTGTGCTCCAGAAAAACGATGCTGAGATGGTGAGGTTGTTTGTGGACCACGGCTGTCGTATCTATGCTCTGATGAGAGACAAGGATGATGTAAGTACAGATGTGTTAAATTCATGATTTCTATATCTGAGTTTCATGCAGTTTAGAAACAATCATGAAATATATATTTTATGCCCTGTGGTGGCTCAACGGTAAGTCTGAGGTGCTTATTACTCTAAAAATTGGATTTGGATAACTGAGACGGACAGAGAAGAGAGCCTAATATACAGCTTTGTGATTAACAGCAAACAAATGTATTTTTATTGGATTTTAAAGCTGATTTCATACACATGAACTGCACAAATTTGAGTGCTAAGTTAAAAAAAGAAACCATGTTAAAGTCTTTTAACTCTTCCCACACTTGTGATAATAATCAACTACTGCCAAAAGTTTTGAGTTTGGCAGTGCTTTGTTTATAGAAATTATTGGCCTAACAATACTTTGGGTAAGCATGTAATCGAAATTTGCATTGTTTTTCATAGTTTGGACTGATATCAGCTTCCAGATCAGATGGACTTTCTACAGTTTTATAATTACACAGGCCTGTGAGTTTAAACTTCATAAGAGTTGTTTTGGTTTTAATAATGGATTTTCCATAATTCAGTTACGCAGATTTTGAAAACAATATTAATTTTTTTTCTATTACATAAGGATTTTTTACAAATCTGGAATAAAAAAAACTCTTACTTAGATCAATTTATTATTTCATTTACTGCAATGAACATTTTTTATTATTATGCGTGTTAACGAAAATAAAAAAAAAACTGAAGAAGGGGTTCTAGAACAATCGATAAGACCTCTCATCATTATTGGTCTAGAGAAATCTATAGCCAGTGGTTGTCAACATTTTTAGCATAACAAAATGTGACCCAATTTCATTTAAAATTATTCACTTATTTAAAAGTACATACGACGTTTTGTGAAAAATCTGTACATGATTGAGAAAAATGGATATTGTTACGTCTCTGGTTGTTTGTTAATTTCCCGTAAAAATTCTCTCCAAGAAACTTCAGCGATACAAGTCCTTTCTTAAATAAAACTAGTTTATTCTTTCTCAATACAACTTTGCAATACACAGAATTTCCACAGTCACTTTAAGTTAAACACACACTATAATTTACAACGATTCACTCACTTTACTTACGACTTGACTCGATTATCTCGACTATCTACAAAATTATATGTCCGCTTTATTTGCCGGGCTTATATACAAAAATAGAGGGCATCTGGCAAACACTTGAGCCTTCATGATCCTTCTAGAAACTCATCACGTATTGCCAGTGTCACATGACTTCTGCTGTCGTAACAGTATCATTTTCAGATTCAGAGTACAGGAATTACTGTACAATATGTACACATTTCGAGACAATATAACCATCGCAGGTCTGTGTTATCTGTGCTCTTTAGCAGAAATTTTGCCATTTCATAATAATATCAATCTACAACAGATGTTTACACTTATTTTTATAGTGATCCTTAACTATTACATAAAATAACAAAAAGCTTTCTGTTGCTTTAGAAGACAACTAAATTATAGTTTATCTGTTGTGTGTTCTTAAACATACTTAAATGATGTCTGTTTGAACCTGTGGTGCACAACAATTTTTTTATATTTAGTGATAGTGGAATATTGTTTATTTGTGTGTTTATGGGTGTAGTGCATCAAATACCACAGACAAGAGGACGGGAAGGGCATTGAGAACCACTGGCTTCTGACGTATAATTCTAGTTTTTTAACACAACATAATGAATAATTTCAATTAAAATTATACTTGTTCAGTCCCTGGTGGTATTGTACACACTGTAAAAATGCATTGGGTTAACTTTTTCTTTTCATTATTATGTCTTCTAGTAGAATTTTGTTGCACAAAGGTGTATGCATATTGTTTCTTCAGTTATGCCTTGTTTTTATTCTTTTAGAACACGTTTTTCACTTGTCTGGAGGAATTTTATACCTGTTTTAATACTATGTCCTTCATAAAGAAAATGAAATAAAGTTGACTTCTGTTTACACTTTTTCTGATAATGATCAGATAGTCCAATATTTTTTTATTTTTTAATTCATATGCAGAGTTTGAGTGAGACAAGTATCACTTATGTATATATAAAGAAAAAAAATCATATTTATAAGCTGTCTTTGCAGTTTATGAAACAAAAGAAAATCTGTTGGCTTGTAAAAAATACAGTTTATTTAATATTTATTATTAAAAACTATGAGGTAGAAGTACATTTTTTTTCTGTGTGTTTTTGTAAAGTATTTTTTATGTCTACTTTACACAAATGTATGGTTACTTAGAATACAAAGTTTACAAAGATAACAACAAAGAAACTTGACTGAGGTCTAGAATGAAAGTTAGTAATATTAGATATTGTAAGCATCTAGAAACAGTTTTGTTGTATTTAGTAAGTGTTCAATATTCAAAAACTTGTGGTTATATTAGCATAATTTCACTCTTTGGACTAACTTTCATTATATTTGTATAATGTATTCTTCTTTTTTTATGTGTGCTTTTATGTAACAACAGTCAAAATGCCCTAATTTTCTCTCCATTTTGTTTTCACAGTACGAAATGCCTGTGTTATTTGTAGCCTTACAAGAAGATATGCCTCTGTCTGTAATACAAGCTTTGTTACCTGAAGGACGATCAATTAGATTGGAGGAACTACTCAGCAAACTTCTCTACAGAGTAATATGTGATCTGAGTTTCTCATAAAGATTAAGTTTGTCATTTTGAAACTATTTGAAGTAAAATTTACTTGAACAGGAATTATACATGTTATAACATGCGTTTAAGATACTGATAATGTCGACTGAATGGCAATAGACATTAGCATTATTTAATCCATACTATAAAAGTGGGAGGGTTGTTTTTTTATTGCATTATTTAATCCATACTGTAAAGGTGGCAATGATCCTTTATTGCATTATTTAATCCATACTGTAAAGGTGACAATGATCATTTATTGCATTATTTAGTCCATA